CAAGTTGTGGCCAAACCACGCTGTTGTACAAATTTCAACTCATCTGACAACAGAAAAGTTTTCCACTTAGCCACAGTCCATTTTGAAACAGCTTTGGCATTTGTGGATTGCACGGCAGACTGTATTCACAGTGATTTCTGGAAGTGCTCCTGAGGCCATACAGTGATTTTCAGCCCTGTCCCTTTCCTGCAGAGATTTCTCCAGATTCTCTGATTCTTTAATGATATTATGTACCGTAGATGAGATATTCAGTCTTCTGTAAGAACACACAGTTTATGGTAGACCCTTGGCCCATTTTTACTTCTGAGGAACTCTGCCTCTCTAAGATCTTTTTATACCCAGTCATGTTACTGACTTGTTGCCAATTAACTGCAAAATGTTCCTCCAGGAAATCAAGGTATTAAAAAAAGCTCACTGCTGAAACAAACATTTTTAGATACAGCTGTGGTTAACCATCTGTAGCTCTCGGGAAACACTCGGCTGTCCTTCATATCTCGTTATTCGCTTCTGAGCTATCGGCTTGTCCACCAGCGCTTCACTGAAAGATAACACACCTCTATGGTGAATAATTCAGACAGAAAACAGAACAAACACAGCCAGTGCTGGCTTTGGTGTCACTCAGCTGACAGATATGGAAATACAAACCCACAGAAAAGAGAGGCAAGGTCAGAGGTTAAACATTACCAAAAGCATTCATTAAATGCACTATATGCAGTGTAGAAGCAAATAAAATTTGAAGCTGATGATTTGATTTACAAAAGAAGAAGTTTTATCTTGATAGTTACAAGCTGTGCACTGCAAAGGTTAAATTCTGAAAAATGAAACTTTCAACTCTATAACGGGTATTAATAGAGACTCTCTACTGAAATCTTTTCTTTAAGATGCCAAAAATAAAACACACACACACATAAATATACATATATATATATATATACCTATATCTATCTCTAGTTATAGATATGAAACATTGTTTTTATTTCCAAGTCAAAACTTCTAAGTAGCTACACCTCTCTCTCTTTTTAAAAGTTCAATGTAATGAAACCTGAACTGGAAAAGAGCGGTCTGAAATACAAAGACACTCGAAGAGAAGTGGGTAAAGTGCAGCGAGAAGAAAGAACTGAAAGGACACGTGTAAAAGAAAGGGCCTTTAGTGGAAAGAGAAGAGCTGTTAATGCTTAAAACTTCCTCAGCTTCTCAGGACACGATGCACTCAGTGAAGAGGATCATCTCACACTCATAATCTTTCCTCCCTCCGCCTTATCTTTGTACATTCACCATCAGCAGCTGCAGAGTGAGGGATAGTATTAGCACCCCCTTCATTTACATCAACACTTTTACAGATTAGTGCTTAGCAGGAAGCGCTGCTTTAGTCATGCCACTTCCCTGTAACAGCTATTTATTTTAATTATCTGTTAACTACAGTTAACTATGTTCCTCTCACAAGCAAGGTAGCACTAGAAATGTTCAAATTTCCACCAATATGTAACAAATGATAACTCTTAGTATGCTTATATAAAACCGAATGAATGCACAGTGTCATAAAATGCAAAAATGGCGATTTCTCGCCTATTACGCTACAGAAATTAGGCTTTTTGTGACTTCCAAACTGATCCCAGGCTTCAAGAACACAGCTGGTGGGAAGCACAGAGGTCAAGATATTGAAAAATGGTATCCTGCAACAGTAACACTGTGAGCAAAATGAATATCAATGCT